GTGGGGGGCTGTGTGGTCGGGTGGGAGGGTTGGTGCTCAGCTGGCAGGGTGGAGCTGATGATTGACGCGGGGGTGCGGGCATGGTGCGTGCTGGGAAGAGTGGAGGTTGGGGGTGGATTGAGTAGCAGAGTGCAGTGTCATGCAAATGAAGCAGGCTGTTGTGTGTGGGTGCGGTGCCTGACTCGCTTCAAGGGCAGCGGAAGGGACTGGACTGACCCAAGCATCCCATGCCAAAGACGACTCCGAAGGGTGACCCAATTGTGTGCTGCAAGTGTCATGCACAACACAAAATGCATTTCAAAGGGGAAACTGCACCAAAATCCCAACAACCTACGTCAATCCCACCCATTTGCAGGCACGAAGTTCTTCCCGGGCTACGTTTCTGACCGCCGCCGCGCGGCTGTGGACCAAGCTGCAGTGGCGTGGCAGGAGGAGGGGCGGCGGCGCATGCGGCTGCTGGCGCGCACCAGCCTGGCGCAGGAGCAAGCCATCATGCTGCCAGAGCGTGCCACGGGTAAGGGGCTGGGGGCAATTCGCTGAAGTGATTTTGGCACGCCTGTGCATGTCATGAAGGTGCTAGGTCTCAAAGGCGGCTGCTTCGATTCTGCCTGCGACTCTTTGGACTCCTTTCTGCAAGCATTGCTACTTGTCCATGCACCACATGTGTGATGCCTGCTGCGCTTCCTTGCAGCGGGAGCGAGGCGCATAGACGTTGCGCCCGCCACCCTGCGGTACCATGCGAGGTCCACGTTGCTGCCTGCCCCAGCCGTCTCCCTGCACAGCACCCCTGCCTGCCCCTGCTCCCGCCTCCCCTGTCTCAGTCGAGGCGATCACGGCGGCAGCGCAACCAACGTCCAGCAACAACTGGGGCCGCGGGGTGCAGCAAGCAGGGGGCAGCGCAGGCGCGGCCAGCAGCAGCGGCGGCCAGCAAGACGCTGTGCAGGTGGTGGTGCCAAAGACAGGTGCGCTCAGCCAGCTAACGACATGCGCGCGGTGCTTACAGCTATGAGCTGGTTGTTTGCACGCTCACACTGTTCCTTGAGTTGTGACTTGCGCCTTCCTGAGCACTAAGTGTTATACTGTACAGCTGAACATCTGGCAAGCTCTCACTGTGCTGCCCGTGGAGTGAGCGGCCTCAACCCCATCTCACTGCTGCCCACTCGCACCTACCCTCACAGCCAATGGGGATGGCGCCATCCACCTGTGTGAGCTCGTGGCCTGCCGGCTGCCACCGGAAAAGTGGTGGGACCAGGGCGGCGGCGGCGGCAAGAAGGGCGGGGG